CGTAACACCGCCCCTTCCTTAGTATTGTTCGTCCCGAACAATATTCATTTAAATTAAACCAATAAATAATTAACAATAACTTAAATAAATGTACAGAACTTACAACACAAAAATAAAATACAACAAAGTCTCTTAATTTTACAGGACGTTTCTTCTTTCGTACTGGTCTCTGTCTCATTGGCTTCTGCTTGATGTGGGATTCATCTGCTCCATCAGGAAATGTCCTATTATCGGTAGCAGTCACATTAGTGGTAGTAACTACTACATACTAGCTGAAGTTCACCCATACTACTAACTGTAGTCCACCCATATTAATAGCTGTAGTCCATCCTTTTGGTATCGTAATCCATGAATACTACTAGCTGTTGTCCATCCTTTTGGTATCGTAATCCACCCATACTACTAGCTGTAGTCCATCCTTTTGGTATCGTAATTATCCATACTACTAGCTGTAGTCCATCCTTTTGGTATCGTAATCCATCCATACTTTTAGCTGTAGTCCAACGTTCTGTTATCTTAATCCATTCATACTACTAGCTGTATTCCATCCTTTTGGTATCGTAATCCATCCACAGTACTAGGTGTAATCTGTGATTCTATTACAGTAATCCGTCCATACTGCTAGCTATAATCTCTGTTTTTGTCACAGTGATCAATCCATACTAATATATGTAATCTGTGTTGTTATTACAGTAATCTATCCATACTACTAATTGTATTCAATCCTTTTGATGTCCTAATCCATTTATTATATTAGCTATAGTCCATCCTTTTGGAATCGCAATACATCCATGTTACAAGCTGCAGTCCATCGTTTTGTTGTCGTAGTCTATCCATACTACTAGCTGTAACCTATGTTGTTATTACATTGATCCATCCATACTACGAACTGTATTCCATTCTTTTGGTATCCTAGTGTATCTATAATGCCAGCAATAGTCCATCCTTTTAGTATCATAACTCATCCACACTACTAGCTGTATCCCATCCTTTTAGTATCTTAATCCATCTATACTACTAGCTGTATTCCATTCTTTTTATGCCACAATCCATCGATAATACTAGTTCTAATCTGTTTTTTCTAGCAGTGATCCATCCATACTACTAGCCGTAGTCTGTATTTTAATTACTGTGATCCATCCTTATTACTAGCTGTATTCTACCCTTTTGGTGTCATAATCCATTCATATTACTAGCTGTAATGTATATTTTTTTTACAGTGATCCGTCCTTTGTTTTGGTCATATACAAAGCTTTTTTGTGTTTATGTTAAAATGATCCATCTGAATAATGAGCTAGATCCATTGAGTTTGTCACCATGATCTCTCCACATAGTGAACAAAAACCAGTCTTTTTGCTAGTTTCCGTCCATAAGTTTGATAAGGCTTGTCCGTGGTTGGTACATGTACCGAATGGAAGCCTTTGTTTACCGCGATCCACCTTTTTATAGAATACAGCGTATCTATCCGTTAGTACACAGACATAATATTTACCTTTTTGTCACAGTGATATATATGTGTATTAAGCTATGGTTAGTCTTCTTGTTAAAGAAACTTTAAAAAGTTGGAAACTAAACTCAAACTTGTATATTTTTAAAGTTGTAACGGTATTTGAAACTACAAGGAAGATAAAAATATTATAATCTGAATAAAAAACAAACGATAAATTCTATATATAAAAATGACATACATTCCTTATAGTTATAGCTGTTGGGAAACAACTTTATTTTACTCTACCATAAAATATAAAATAATATATATTCATTTAGCTATATTCATTTACATGTCTCTAATGTTTCGTTCTTAACACCTAGATGGTG